GGCAAACGTGACAAATCCGCCCGAAAAGTCTTAATTAAGAGCTGGTAGTTCTCCAAGAATGGCTTTATTCTTAGATTAGGGTTGGCTAAATGATACAGAGAGTGGATTGGCCACATAACAGGATACTGATACAAGTGTTTGCAGAGCTCCTCTGAGGTTTAAATAGAAGTATATAATAGGTATGTATGGGACCACAACAAGTGTGTGGGCTTTGAGATTTCGAAGGGGATTTAAAAAAAAAAATGCTCAGCATTCTCCATGGACTGCATTTGACCTGCATAATCCAGCAGAGGGAGTCATCATTCCATATATAAGGAATATAATCTAGTATTATTAAACAGAAATCAACAGGTAAGAAAAATGTGTGTTTTCAGCCCTATGATCTTTGTACTATGGTGTACTATGGAATTATCTTGTTGCCAATGATGTTCAACATCTGTATGAATCCACTGGGACCTGTCATTTGGGGTTTGGGGGCAAAATGTCATTAGTACACCAATGAAACACCGTTCTATTTATAACATCTGAGTCAGGAGAGTCTCGCATGATCTGGACCATTGTATGGATGAGTGGTGGACTGAATGAGGGCCAAAAAACTTGAGTTTTGGCTATAAGTTGGTGGGGCAAGAAGAGCTTTCACTCCCTTCCCCAACTGCTAGTCTGGGTAGACCAGACATGCCAGAGGTTCTTAGCAGCTGCCACCACTCTCCCTTAAAAGGTGAAGGTACCCCTGCCTGTACGGGCCAGTCTTGCCAGACTCTAGGGTTGTGCGCCCATCTCACTCAAAAGGCCGGGGGCCAGCGCTGTCCGGAGACACTTCCGGGTCACGTGGCCAGCATGACATCACTGCTCTGGCGAGCCAGAGCCGCACACGGAAACGCCGTTTACCTTCCCGCTTGTAAGCGGTCCCTATTTATCTACTTGCACCCGGGGGTGCTTTCGAACTGCTAGGTTGGCAGGCGCTGGGACCGAACGACGGGAGCGCACCCCACCGCGGGAATTCGAACCGCCGACCTTTCAATTGGCAAGCCCTAGGTGCTGAGGCTTTTACCCACAGCGCCACCCACGTCCCACTCACTCTCCCTTACGTTACCTCTAATCCCAGACAGGAGGACTTTCCCAGGATCCAACGGGGAGCAGAGATACCTTTCTCTTACCCTAGACCAAAGTAGCCAGCTTTTTTCAGTCAAACACCACACATGTAGCATGAACCAAATGTCTATGCACATGAGGGGCTGGAAACTTCATAAGGCTCCTAATATCTTGGGCCCAGGATACTTTGATCGCAATGCATTATATCCTTGCCTGATCACTGAGGTCGAGGAGAGTTGCTGTCAGCAGACCACTATGATTCAGATGCAGGGCTCTCATCTACCAGAGCTGCACATTCAGTATTGTGGAGCCAATGCTGTGGACCCCTCTTCCTCTTGAGTTCAAACCTATTGTACTTCAGGTACCTGGTGAATTTGTTCTTTTTTTTTTTGAGTAGGGGTTTTAAAAACAAGCCTTTCTGATTTTATGGTGAATTTAAATGATTTTATCCATTGTATCTCTAACTTCATTGTTTAATGTTAGACACTGGTTTTAAGCGGAATAAAAGTGGAATAAAAAATAATGTATTGCATTTGTTAGTTGATAGATACAAAACAAGAGAAGTCTCAAAGCAACTTAAAACACAGATAACATCAATTAAAAGCCAAATTTTAAATGACATACAACATTTGTAAAATGCTCATCCAATAAGACAAGATAAAGTCCTGCCCCACTAAAATAGTACCAGAATAAAAGCTAATTTAACAATCAAAGCCTGGATAAATAAAAATGTCTTGGCCTGGAGCCTGAAAACCAACAATGATGGCACCAGACATGTTTTACTGGGGAGAACATTCCACAGATGGGGAGCCACTATTGAAAAACTTGTTCTTATGTAGTCACCTTCCATACTTCCCTTGGAGAAGGCCTTTGTTGAAGACCGCAAGGTCTCAGATGGTTCATGTGGGTAAAGGCAGTTCTTGCAACTCACTACACCCCAACTCTCTAAGTCTCATGTTTAAGTATAACAAATTTCAGAAAAAATACTTGATGTTTTTTAAAAAGTGATAATGTCTGCAGTAGTCTGGTCAATGTCTGCAGTAGTCTGGGATTTGAAGCTACTGGAGAGTACATTTTGGAAGGCAATATGATCTCAGGACACTTTCAATCCAGAAGATATCCACATAAAATGCTTTGGTTAATGCAAAACAGAAGACTTCCAAAGATGTTCAGAAAAAGACACAATACAAATTTATTTTAAATATATTATAAAAGAAAGTCCATTCATCTCTTAGAAACACTATACCTTACACCCAAATGATTTCCAATTTATCAAAGATTCTAAATTAAAGTGCTAGACATCCTTTACCTCCCCCCAACACAATAGGACAGTGTCCTGAGATGCACAAAATAAATACACTGGTTTATGCTGCAACATCCAATTTCAAACAATCTGTTAAGCATGCATTACAATGTTGAAACAAAGAGTCCCTGTATAACATCATCTCAAAACATAGTTGGCCACTTGATACTATTGTTGGAAGAGAGATGGTGTTTTCCAACATAATCCTTACCATTTCTTCTCAGAAGTAAGGCTTACTGAAGTCAATGGGCTTACTCCCAGGTAAGTGGTGTTACGATTGCAACCTTAGCCAGTTAGCTTGATTATACAATGCAATGTCATTAACTTAGTTAATATAATTTTATTTAGGATAAAAAACTCCTACTTATTTGCAACAATGGAATGTGCTTGCATGGTGCTAGCCTAATCAAATTGAAACTGGAAATCTCTGGGTGACTACAGAAGCACTCTTAGGATGGTCCTGAACAGAATGCAGGTCAAAAAGCCTTTTATGAATGGGTAATGAATTTTTATCTAAAATGTCATCTTGTTCCATATATGATTACATGTGACATCTTAGAAATCATATAGAGTTTATAACACTGAGACCCTAGAAAAATCTAAAGCCAGACTACATGTGAGCATTTGCAGCTACACTTCTCTACCTCCCATCACAAATAAAGCAATTTGTATCAGATATAATTTAAAAGGTTTATTTGGGAAGACGTGCTAAACCCTAACCACTCACCCTGTCTTCAGAGCATCTCCTTGGGGGCTGTCCCCCCATGTCACTTTTTGCTCATCTAGGCTCTGATATAGGAAATGAGCCTGGCTGGGAGTGGCAGGTGTGGGGAAGGTTCAGCGCTTTCTCTTTCTCTCTGCACACAAACTCTTTCCACAGGCTCTCACAGGTACACTCTTTTTGTTTTAAGACTCCCTTCCCCATTTGTTTGCTGCCATCACATCTAATTTTGGACATGGTTACCCACAAAGCAGAAGCAAATTCACAAAGTTGAGAAGACACCTCTATGCTGTTAGTATCTTCCAGACACTTTCCAGTGAAATAATATTGGTGGAAAATGCCTCAATGTTTACAGCAAGTTAAGGAACCTTCTAGAACTCTTCTTCATATCTGATAGGGTGCCCAGAAGGACTCTGCAGCAAGGCCTTTGAGCATTTCTGTACATGCTAAGCAGCAAGTCCTGTTGAAATTAGTAGGAATTCAGCTAGTTTTGATATTACAGTATATTAAAAAGCTAATCAGACTGCTTACACTAGTTTACACTGTCTTAAACCAGGGGTGGTTATATCCATGTTAGTACTGTGAGTAGTTCTATGAAACATAAAGCAAACTACTGTAAGTCTTCTGCTCTTTTCAGATGTGGTTTTTTTTTTACATCACAGCTTAATCAAATTGTGGTATTGTTTTGATGATATTATTATTATTATTATTATTATTATTTCCCCAGCCACCCTGGGCGGCTTCCAACAGAATATTAAACACAATACAGCATCAAACATTGAAAACTTCCATAAACAGGGCTGCCTTCAGTTGTCTCTTAAAAGTAAAATAGTTGCTTACTGCCTTGACATCTGCTGGGAGGGCGTTCCACGGGGCAGGCACCACTACCGAGAAGGCCCAGTGCCTGGTTCCCTGTAACCTCACTTCTCGCAGCGAGGGAACTGCCAGCAGGCCTTCGGCGCTGGAACTGTGTCCGGGCTGGACAATGGGGTGGAGATGCTCCTTCAGGTACACAGTACCGAGGCCGTTTGATGGTGAAAATATGTCTTTTTATATATCCCACGAATCCTTGTAATGATAAAGCCACTTGTGTCACACCACTATGGCCTACAGGAACACTGTACTCACACATTGTCCTGATAGCTAACCTTTCAACTGCTTGGGATATGCTGTATAGAGGCTTATGGGTCAAACTCTTCTAGGTGTTTGCTCCGTTGAGTGAAAAAGATACCATTGTGAAAAAGGTATTCAAGCATGTATGAGTGTGGAAACAAGTTGCCTTACTGCTTCTCTGTTATGATGCTGACTAGATCAGGCTTCCTCAATCTCGGCCCCCCCCCCCGATGTTTTTGGCCTACAACTCCCATGATCCCTAGCTAGCAGGACCAGTGGTCAGGGACGATGAGAATTATACTCTCAAAACATCTGTAGGACTGAGGTTGAGGAAGCCTGGACTAGATATCGACAAATATTTCTAATGAATGACCCGTACATTTATGGAAGCTACCCTGTTGATTTATTTTGATATTGCAGACTATTGGTGGAAGACACTGCATGGTGAACCTTGTATGCTTGTATGCCAACATTTGGGATCAGGAGCCACTTACGAAACTGTCAGAATCAGCCATCAGGGGTATATAGGGATGCTCATTCATGTTCTTTACACCATTTTTGTTTTGAGTAATGAAACTTAGCAACTGGTTTTCTAAACCAAGACCATAAACTTTCCATTCTACAATATGAACTTGAAATTGGATATTTAAACACAAAAATCTTCCTAAAACATCACTAATTGCACATTGTACTGTACTCTCTTGTACATCCAACATCCCACTCCAGTCCAAGGCACTAGGAAATTGTTCAAGTTTAGGTACTTGCTGAACATTTGCATTTAAAAAGGCACTTCTTTATTTTAATGATGCTGTTAAATTTGATTTTTATAACATTACTTAAGACCACAAAAGGTGTATGTTTGAATGCAAGAATTTTTTAAACCAGATGGGGTTATTTCCTGCAGCCAAGATATTCAGATGGCTTTGAAGGATTCAGATAATATCACTGCTAGCAACAGACACATTTCAGTCCACACATTTCAACCAAACCATTGAAAACATTTAGATTTTTGAATTGAGATGCCATGCTGAAATCACTACAACCACGTAGGGAGCCATTTCACACAAACTGCTTGCTCAACCTACCCACCGCCCCCCCCCACTCTCTTTGATCCATCCTATGGAGCTGCTTCTCAAGCAGCAATTATGCTGAAATCAGGCCTGACTGGAACAAAACACGGACACCCAATGTGCATGTTAATACTGTGCACACTGCTTTCCTCCAAAAGCCTCAGTGTCAGCACAACTGAACAGTTTTTTTGCTTAGCACAAGGAAGTTGAGGTCAAGTAACTGAAGTGTGACCAGGAATCTTAGCTACACATCCTAAAATATTCAAGAGCAAAGTCTTTTCAGTTTTGTTATCTGACACCCTTATCATGCATGCAAATGTGGTTTTATAGACTCATGCTTTAGTTATTATGAATATAAATAAAGCAGAAGATTAATTACAGATAAAAGTAGTAAAATGCATTTTCATTTCTCAACCAGCAGGTGGCCTGCTAACAATGCTTTCAAACCATTGCCTGGGGCTTCCAGGATTGAATGCATTACTTATGTGCAGAGATCGCCACTCAGCCAGAGTTAAATATGTTTAAGATATTTTGTAACTTGACAAATATTTATATTGCTGCAGAGAGGAAGCTCTTAAGAATATTTTAACATCTGGCTTTTGGCGTTTGGTTTCAGCAGGTTAGTAGCAATCACAGAAACTTTCCTAGAGCAACATAGTAAAGTGTCTGAGATTGCAAGATAAAAACTCCCTAAATTGAAGTCTCACCTCAGTCATGAACTTGTAAGACAGCCTTGCACTAATACTGGTCTACTTTGCAGGACTGTTGTAAAGATTACTACTGCATGAACACTAAAACATTACAGTACTTCAAACTCAACCTATGTATTGACTATTCAGCATAATTATGTTTTCACCCTGCTTAGACAATGGCCTTCAGTTTTATTGCAGAGAAAACATTACAGGGAACAAAAAGATGATGGGAAGTAAGTAGAGGGGTATGTGATTCTGCAGCGAAACGGGGAATATGAAATCTGAATGGCCTTTTTAATTTTTAAATTCCAGTTACTTTGCCATCTGGTTAGTAGCCCACTGCAAACAGCACTAGTTCTTAGATGTATCATTAACTGAAGGTGTACTAGCTTGCTAAATTAGACACATATTACTTTTGATGGAAAAACATAAGGATGACTGGAACAAACTAGGAGCAGAAAATTCAGCTAGCATGGGATCAGAACTGAGGTGAAAGAAATTAGCGTTGGAAGAAATAAAGGAAAGAGGTCATGACCAGCAGTCTATATATGCACAAGGAAGTCTTCACACCCAGAACAGCTCTTTCCTTTCATATTGGTGTCCTTAACAGGAAATCCCTGCATGTGGTTTATTTCCCTTAACTGAACAAAATAAATAAATCTAAGTATGAATTGATCTTCTGAGTGTACCATGAGCCATTGTTTTGATAACCAGTGACAGACTAGTGAGGTAGAACTGGAAGAGGCAAATTAGCACCTGTTAACACATGGGAAGGCATTAAAAACAATCCTCTAAAAATCCCCACAGGAAATCATCTATCACTAGTAAAATTTTAAAACAGATCTCAGCCTGAGTTGAACAAAAATGCAGGTTTAACTACGTCAAGAAAAACTAATGATATCAAGGTCTAACTGAAGCCAAGAGAATTGTGCTGTAAAATATTTTGCCCAATTCACTAACCTAAAAATATTGGGCAATGGGAAATGCTGAGTAAAACTGCAGCTAACACAGAACTGGGGAGTTTGTAAATTCAAATTTGTGAATATAAAAAACTGACAGGAATCACACTCCAGTTATTTTCAATGAAGATTTTAAAGATGATCATTTAAGTCAATTGGAATGAGATGCAGGGAGGCCTAAGCTGTGAAAGATGCTGCACTGTATGAATCCTTTACTTTTGTAGAGCACTGCAGTTGTCATTTTATTGTAGGATATTGTTGTGCATGCAGTCCCAGGTGTGGCTGGATGTTATAAGTTGGTTTAACAGGTAAGTTAACAGGTAAAGTTAAACACTAAGAATTTCACTGCAATCTTAAAACATACTTATTTGGAAGTCGGTCTCACCCATGTTACTGGGGAATTAAATTTCATGGAGTGATCTTAGAATTTTAGCCCTAGTTCTGTTTGTATAACTGGGTCTTTTGAGTTCAAGTCATATGTCCATGAACAGGTATATTATCCATGACTCAGCTGATTTGCCTAACTCAGGGGTCTGGCAGAGGATCTGTCTGGTGGGTGGGATCCTGAGTTCCCCTCCCCTCCCAATAAGACTACTTTGACAGGTGGGTAGGGCCACCCACCTGCCAATAAGCTGACATTGCCATGTCAGGCAGCCCAGCTTCAAATGAAAGAATTGGGAGTGTACTCCAAGAGCCTTTCTGACTCTCTTCTTCCTACGTTTGAACTCAAGCTGGGCTGCAAAGGAAGATGCCTGTTGAAAGGGGTTTGCATTTAGCTTTTGACAGGGGATGGGCTGCAGTTGGAAGTTCCTCATGCAGCTAATCCCCACAGGGTTTGTAGTCGACCAACTGCAAACCTCTCTCTTGGTAGGGAATGGCTGTATCCAAGAGCTCCAGTGCAATGAACAACTTCATGCCACCAAAACTAAGGGTCAGTGTAAAAAGCCAGTGCCAACACTGATCTTAAACCATCTGGACTGGAGATATGCATTATCTTAACACTAATCCTTGGCTGCTGTATGGATCTAAGGGTTTGGCTTTGAGACAATGTGGTGCAGAATTCATGACAGTTGCACATTACCCTTATGAAAAATACGCAGGCTTAGATGTGACCTTAATAGCTGAAAAACTAGAAGATTATGAAAGGATACGGTCCTGCATTAGAGAACTAGGTTTCAATCTGTGGTGTGATTATAGCAATATAGATTTCTAGACATCTTGTTAATGGGATGCAGCATCATCAAAGTAAAGACTGGCCTGATAGTCAAACCCTCTCCTGAGATTTTCCCTTTTATTGTTTTTAAAAAATTATTCTTTTAAAAAATTTGTCATCTCCCCTGTAAAAATTATAGCTGTAATATATACATATAGATAGTCTTTAAAGATCAAGATTCTTGTTAAAGTTTTCCAAGACTGTTGAATTTGTGTGTTCAAATATCCACTGCTGTGTTGGAGAGGAAGGATTGCACGTGCTCATGAAGATTTTTCGGTCACTCTCACTACAGTCCATGCAGCTGCCACTTACTGGGTGGTAAAGAGTCTTGTCCTAAGGATGAAAATTAGAAATCAGTTTGCTGTACTTGAATATATGCCACAGACTTCAGAAAGCACCTTAAAAGAAAAATGTATCTGTCATTTTATTACTTATCATCTAACAGCAGCTCTTCTTTAGAAGTAGCATTTCTCCACATTTATTGTACAATGCTTTAGCTAAGCAATTTCAAACAAATTAATTAAATAAATATATCTATTTTCACAACTGAAATAAAAAAAATGAGTACTGATAAAGAAAATCACTCTTCCCTTATTCAAATCAAACAGGTTATCCACTAGACCTCACTTGGAATAGTGTTTCGCGCAAGCATATTGTTAACTTATTGTCCTTGTCTTCAACACTTGCTTGTATCCAAATCTTTCTGAAGCAGGCACTGGAATGTCTGGGCTACACCTCACTGAACTTCAACACTTCTTCATGTGGCTTAAGAATGCTAGAATTGGGTTCACTGATATTATGAAGCAGGGGTCAATGATGAGATCTGAACCCTGAGATTCCTTGCAAAGATGTCTTGCCCTCATGACAAAAGTTTACCCAAGCCTGCCTTACGATTCCTTATTTTGTATCGTGGAAATTTGTACTTTATAGATACTGCAATTATCATTGCTTTTGAGTATTTCTGCCATCCATGAATATAATCCCAGGTCTTTGTTCCTTTTTTAAAAAGGGATAAACTTTTCAAAGCCTATGGCCCATCAGTTGTTGTTGTTGGACTCCAATTCCCATCAGCCCCAGCTAGTTTGGCTAAGGGGAGTTTGGTGAGGGGAGTTTAAGTCCAATATCTGAAGCCCCCCTGCTCTCAAGTAGAAGAGTAATATATGAGTGGCATGATAGGAAAAGTTCCTACCATGGAACAGTTGAATACCACTTTATATGGTACACTTACAACAAGCAGGTTTATTTGCTATCTCTGGTAGAGATGTTACTATGCCCTATTGTTCTTTTAATAAAAAGGGGATTCCACTTAACATTGTCCCAAACATAGGGACAAAATATTACAATATGAATATTTTTCAAGATATTACAGGTAACCATAATGCAGAAGTAATGGTTTCCACATTCTGAGTAATAACACACTCACTTTCCTGTATTTCCATAGCTGATTCCCCTTCATTCCATGACAGTCATAGAGAGTCACTGGGCTGTTGTGGGAAACAGCATCAAAACAGAATTTCTTTGTGTGCTGGGGGTCTCCTGGACGGATGTCCTCTCGCCAGCTAAATGTGAACACCTGCTAGGACAAACATCAAACCCTCAGAACAAACGATGAGGACAAAAATCCAGACTTCTTTGTTTTATGCATCCCTGCACTTCAGTACTACTCAATGTGAAGAACAACTACCCTCTCCTTAGGACAGGGCAAGAAATACAGAAATAGAATTGTGGCATTGTTAAGAAACGCAAACACTGAAAAGGAGCTCTACAATGGCAGTTGTGTTTGAACTGGAAGCCTGCAAATGACGCCCCCCCCAGGCCATCTAATACCAGTTGCCCTGTGGAAAAGAACATCAGTTGCTCAAATGGAGCAGATTGATTTTGGTTTGGTTTAAGTGAGTGGCTCTTGAAGTATCTACTGTATGTTTATAAATATTGTGAGCCACTTTGAAGTTAAAAAACAGGATATAAATATACTAAAAAAATAAATAGATATAAGGGAAGAAAAGAAATGGAACTAATATAGGGTGCTTTTTAAAATTTTATTCAGACCAAGTGAATAAAATGAACCTAACTTAATCAAGCTTATTAATTTCAATGAGTCTACTCTGGAGCAAAACCTAGCTGACCATAACCAACAATCTGCCACAGTAATTTCCCTTAGTTGAAACTGACTAGCACTGAAAGATTTAACAACAGGAAGAAAAACAAGAGACATCAAGATTCACTACAGCAAGAGCAGTTCTACAATGTGTGGTTATTGGAGCTCTATAGGCTTGTATTCTTTTGGAGGACAGCAGGAATATCTCTGGAGTTGGAAGTACCACCACACCAGTTCAGTAATGAGAGGACATGGAAGCAACTGCTTCATGTTGCTACTGTTAGTACTAATAAAAAACAAAGGAAATCTCTTTATGGAAGAATTAGACCAAAAATATATTTCAACATCCACATTAATTTTTACAACTCAACATAAAGTGGATATAAAACTCATGCAGGCCTTTTGGATTTACCATATTTTTCTGTGTATAACACGTCCCTGTGTATAACACGACTCCCTATTTTTGGGGACTCCAAATAAAGAAATCCCCCATATGCACTATCAGTGTATAGATGACCCCCCCCCCAATTTTAAACTTGAAAAAATAGCGAAAAAATATAGTCTTATACACGGGAAAATATGGTAGTTTCAAAGTCAGTTGGTTTAATTTTCCATTTCCAGGCAACTGAAATGGTAGTCAGCAACTTCTCATTTTACATATTATGTTAGAATAAAGCTGTCACTTCTAGCATCTTATACATTAGAAAATGAAAATATTCGGTGAAAATATTCCCTAACCAGTTTAATCTCTCATTAGCATCCACTGGAGTGCTAATTATACCTCCTGCAACACTAAGTGGTCACTGGATATAGTAGCAGATTCATTAATATGGTGTTTCAGAAGATACTTAGAAATGATAATGTCAGTGCATAGTACAGTTGCATGACTAGTGTCTTATTAACCTTTTCCTGTCTGCCTCCTCTCTATTCACTTCAGAATTTGGCTCCAGATAATACTGGTTTTCTGTCACAGCACTCATGCAAATAATTTAAAGTACCCATCTCCTGCACCCCAGGTGTGTTTACATACCAAGGCCTTCAGCTTGATAATCAGCATCTGTGTACTATCTAGACCAGCAGATTACATTCTACTCCCCTAGCAAACCCCCTCTTAGTCTTACATTAGTGAAGCTATTGTCGTATTTCAATAATACATACTTTGCATGAAGTAGTTCTTTCTAAAACTGCCCGTGGAAACACTAAGAATGAGATATTTATAAAAAAGAATGTAAATACCTGCACACTGTTCCAGGCAGCTTCTCCTCTGCCTTTCACACAGGCTTCAACCCGTAGTGGGGAACCAAGGGCTCCATGTTTGGTATCTGCACAGAGGCCGGTTCCTACATTACGGACCTGAAAGATTAAGTTGCTGATTAGCTTTGCATCTAACTTCTTGACATAGTGGCAATCAAGGAAACTGAAGTACAGGTAAAAGGTAAAGGACCCCTGGATGGTTAAGTCCAGTCAAAGGCAACTATGGGATGTGGCGCTCATCTCGCTTCAGGCTGAATGAGCTGATGTTTGTCCACAGACAGCTTTTCGAGTAATGTGGTCAGCATGACTAAACCACTTCTGGTGCAACGGAACACCGTGATGGAAGCCAGAGCGCACGGAAACACCGTTTACCTTCCCACAGCAACGGTACCTATTTATCTACTTGCACTGGTGTGCTTTTGAACTGCTGGATTGGTCCCCTGCTTACACAGGGGCTACATTCTGAGTCACCGCGCATGTCATTGAAATCGCGTATAATAGAAATGCACTGAAAAAGCCTGCAAACACCCCATTCTGCCCTTTTAGTGACATTTCAGTGATGTCTTTATGATGTTTCCAGGTCATTTCTGGGTTTGGTGCGATGTGCATATACATTGTCACACACATATTAAATGTGTGTAAACAGGGGGCTGAAATAGAGGCAGCCCCCATGCTATCCCATAGCAAACGCTGGCATAAATGCAAAGACACAAGACAATATGATTTCTATATATGTATGTGTGTGGATGTGACAAGAATTCTCAAGAACTGAGAAGCCAAGAAAAGGGATCTAGAACAATCTGCTCTGTGTTTCAAAGGAAAAGAAGCAGCATGTTGAATACACATCTGAGCTTGAGAGCCATTTAACAAGTGGCTTCAGTGGAGAATTGTGAAGGCAGTGATATTAAAAAAGAAATGATCAAAGCCTTGGATTTACTTAGGTCAGGGTTAAACCTGATAATGGGCTGTCAGAGTAAGTAAATCTTAAGCAGCAAACATACCTCAGAAGTTCAGTGTGTACTGTTTTCAATAGTTTTAGTAAAGTTAGTCTTTCTGCTAATGGATTCTGAAGTGTACAGTGGTGCCTCGCAAGACGAAATTAATTCGTTCCGCAAGTTTTTTCTTCTTGCGAGTTTTTCGTCTTGCGAAGCACGGTTTCCCATAGGAATGCATTGAAAATCAATCAATGCGTTCCTATGGAAACCACCTTCAGACCAGGTCCGGGGAAAATCTGTCCCCCGACCTCTTCTGAAGGCTGGGGGGGGGGACGACAAGGGCTTTTCTTCCCACCGCCAGCCTTCAGAAGGCTGTTCTGAAGGCTGGCGGTGGGAAGAAAAGCCCTTCTCCCCACCTCCCGCCCCGCAAGCTCCGGGGACAGGAGGGCTTTGCTGCTGCCCGCCAGCATTTTAAAAGCCCCCCGGGACAGTGGAGACTTCTCCGCTGTCCCGGGGCGATTTTAAAATGCTGGCGGGCAGCAGCGAAGCCTCCGCTGTCCCGGGGCGATTTTAAAATGCTGGCGGGCAGCAGCGAAGCCTCCGCTGTCCCGGGGCGATTTTAAAATGCTGGCGGGCGGCAGCGAAGGCTTCTTGCGAAGCAAGCCCATAGGGAAATTCGTCTTGCGGAACGACTCAAAAACGGAAAACTCTTTCGTCTTGCGAGTTTTTCGTTTTGCGAGGCGTTCGTCTTGCGAGGCACCACTGTATTGAAAACAACTTTTTCTAGCCATATTCATATACATGAACTAAATTCCTGCATGACAGGAATATGGAAACTGGTGTTGTTAGATCACACCTCCCATCATACATGGCCATTGGCTCTGTTGGCTGGCACTTATGGGAGTTGGAAGTCCAGCAACTTTGGGAAGGCCTCAGGTTTCCCATCCCTTCTGTAAAGTTCTGCACCATCAAGTATGTACAGAAGTAAACATGCACAACAATTTCACTCAAAGACGGACTCAGCAGGTACTGGGAATCCTGTGGTTTGATCTGCAACCATACACCATGGCATGGCTGGGACTTCTTGATACAGCTGAATTTCTTGAATAAACCAACCTCTCCCCAGGCAGCTGCTGGAGGCTCCACTGGTGGATAGAACTTTTGCAAGTCCCAAGCAACTTCATTCATGAACCACTTGAAACTTTTGCAGTTGAGATTACTGCGAAGTTCTTTCTGAGCAGTCACATCTCCTGCAGACAGATGCCGATATTCAGGTCTCCTCTGGTAAATGTACTCTGCATATTCATCCATCCACACCTCAGCAACACGCTTCAGGTTCTACATAGTTGACAATATATTTGAAATGAAGAATTGAAAAAAAAGCATATCCATAAATTTGAATTATACAGGATCCACATATGAGAGATTAATTAGCTGCCTTACATGGAGGCATGCATAAAGGGCTTTATGGACTTCGAAATACTACATTAATAAGTCCAAACCCAATCAGATGGTACAGTAAGACGACTGCTCTTCCAAGGAGTCAGACAACCAGAACATTCTATAAAGATTGAATTAAACTGGGCCGTGAGCATCTACTGTATTTCATCAAAAAGAACTTTAAAAGTAATTGTGTTCTTTAGGTAGTTAATTGTGACTGAGGGAGAGAGAAGCCTTTTCAGTCATGTTTCTTCTTCTTCTGTTACTGTCTTTTCCCACCAGAGGGAGTACCTACCCTTTAAAATACATAATTCTGAATACAAAATAAAAGCACTCATCTTTGCATATGAAAATTCACCAACGTGAGAGGACAAATTCACTAATGCGAGAGGACAAACTTTTAATTTCTGGGTAGTAACACTGAGGATCCTCATGTGTACATATTTTGAATTATCCTGAAGAATATATTAATGTGAATCAATCTGATTTCAGATGTCCTGCCAGTTTAAAGGAATCATCCTATCATTGACACATTTGCCCTTCACTGGGGGGATGATGTTTGTCATGCTAATGGGTTTTTAATACAAAGAAAGCTAAAGATAAAGGATAATATCAAAATGCGGCAGTCAGCTCAACCAACAGCCATTGTTATACGTAGCCTTGTTCAGTTCTTAATCTAGTGCAGCAACCTAATCCAATGAGTATCTCACAACAGGAACAAAGTAAATGCCCCTTCCGATCGTCAGGAGGAGGGGGGGGGTTGCGGGATCACGACCCGCCCACACCCGCTCCCGCGAGGCTGGCGCCAGCACATTCCTGGAATGGGCCCTAAAGTTTAGAACTGGCACTCTAGGGGTGGGTCATTATCTCGATGATTTTATTTTGGTGGCAAGTGATGCTGAGGAGTGCAGGTCCCTCCTCCTGGCTTTCGAGTCCTTAGCTAGGGAATTGGGGGTCCCTCTGGCAGGCGAGAAGACTGAGGGTCCGGTCACTACCATGACCTATCTGGGCATTGAACTTGACACCGTAGCCCAAACCTCGCGCTTACCAGCCGAAAAATTGGTTGCCCTTAGAGAGCTTATCGGCCAAATGTTGCCTTTAAAGAAGGTCACCTTGAGGCAAATCCAATCCCTCCTGGGGCACCTCAACTTCGCCTGCCGTGTGGTTTCCCCCGGCCGTCCCTTCTGCGGCCGCCTAGCAAAGCTGTCCACGGGCTTACAATCTCCCCATCATAGGGTACGCCTTTCCAAGGCAGTAAAGGCGGACCTCCTTGTTTGGTTGCAATTCCTGGATGGTTTCAATGGCATATCGCTTTGGCAGGATAGTTTGGCGCTGCAGTCAGATTTCCAAGTACATTCGGATGCGGCTGGGTCCTTGGGTTTTGGGGTGTACTTCAGAGGCCAGCGGTGTGCTCAGCACTGGCCTCCCTCCTGGCAGGGTAAACCAATACTACGGGACTTGACATTTTTAGAATTCTTTCCCATCATAGTTGCAATCCACTTATGGGAGGACCAGTTTAAAAACCATAGGGTCTGTTTCTGGACGGACAATCTAGCGGTCGTATCAGTCTTGAATAAACAATCGTCACGTTCACCCAGAGTAGCGTCCCTGTTACGGTACTTTGTCCTTTCCTGCTTGCGGTTGAACCTTCACGCTTCAGCCAAGTTTGTCCCTGGTATTGATAATAACATCGCGGATGCCTTATCTCGTTTCCAGATGGAACGCTTTCGCTCATTGGCGCCGGATGCGCAGCAGCAGCCGCAACCATTCCCGGAGCACCTCTGGAATATTGGCAACGAGAAGCAATAAAGGGAGTATTGTCTGCGCTAGCGCCTTCTACCCTGAGATCGTATAATAAGGCATGGCTAGACTTCACATCCTTCCGCATCAAAAAGGAGCGGTTCAAGCCGGGCAGGTCACCGTCCAAGTCGGAAGTCATAGAGTATTTGGTCCACCTTAGAGATCTTGGTCGGGCCCCCAAAACCCTCAATATTCATTCAGCAGCTATATCCTTCTTTTCTAAAACTTTATTTTCCGTTGATCCCTGTTCGCATTTCGTGGTGCGGAAGATGCTTGAGGGCTGGCGCAGGTCCAGGCCTCACGGCCAGGACAGGAGAAGGCCCATAACTTTGAATATACTCACACAAATCCGTAGGAAGCTGAGGGTCTTGTGTTGGTCAAGATATGAAGCCAGATTATTTTCAGCAGCGTTTTCTTTCGCATTTTTTGGCGCCCTACGCATAGGCGAAGTGGTCTGTGAGGACCGCACAGCCTCTAAGGGGCTATTGTTGGAGGATGTAACTGTGGACAGTGCGCATGTAATGTTAAAAATCCATAGCTCGAAGACTGATCAGCTTGGCAAGGGAGCCTTGGTTCGCCTCCAGGCGACTCAAAAGGCGGGCCCTTGCCCTGTAAAGGATGCCAGAAAATACCTGTGTGTAAGACCAGAGTCTAGTGGCCCCTTTTTCTTACATTCCGACGGTTCCGCACTCTCAAAGCAGCAGTTTACGAGGGTCATGCGCAAGGCAATTGCCACCATCGGGCTTCCCCAGGAGGAGTACGCTGGGCACTCCTTTCGCATTGGGGCAGCGACCACCGCCGCCCATATGGGTTTACCGGCAGAAAGAATTATGGACATGGGGTGCTGGAAATCTAACGCTTACCGGGGTTACATCTGGAAGCCCTTCTAAATTCCCCTCAGCTTTCCCCCTGGCACTCCTCCTGATCTGGTTCTCCGATTCTCTCATTTCAGGTACTGGTGTGGTTCGACTGTGGATCCTCGGCCACAGCATCGTATATTGGGCAAAGCGGCGCGCTGAACAAAGGGGCTGGGACAAAGAGCTACGGCTACCCAGCAGGGTCAAATTGTCATGGATCGCTAGGAGGGGTATGCGTTGGGAAGAGTTTTTCCCAGTTGTATCCAGAAAAATCGCTGCCGAGGGCCCACCCAGTGCCTTGGTCATCCAACTGGGCGAGAACGACCTGGCGTATAGGAAAGGGGTGGACTTGATGTGGAACATTATCAAATGACTTGGAAGGGTTGAAGGCATCCCATGAAAACATTACAATAATTTGGTCATCTTTGCTGGAAAGGCGATGTTGGCGGGATGCAGAGAAACCCGTGGCGGTGAATAAAGCTAGGAGGATTGTGGAGTGCACGGTGGCACGTAGAGTGGCCGCATTGGGTGGTCGGTCATTCCAGCACCCATGCATACGGTTTGACAAGGAATGCTTTATCGCTGGGATGGGCGTGCATCTATCTGATGCTGGCAATGATATTGGTTGGCAGATATTTTTCAAAGGCGTTAGGGATTGGTTACAGGTCTGAGGGTATTTGGCGGCGAGCCGGCTGGCGGCTCGGTGGCGGTAGGCATTGGCCGGGGTATTGTCATGCAGATGAGGTTGGGGGGGGAGGAACGCCATCACCTCCCCCAATGCTTGAGGTTTAAGCGCGCCCCCGAGCGGTAACCCCTCGGGGAGCGCCTAGGGATATGCATCTCGGGTGGCTCCCCCTGTTGGTGTTTAACCCTTCCCGGTTAGACCGGATAGTCGGTTAGGGGCCAATGCCTAAAGCCAATACCCTTCTTTCCTGTAATCAATAAAGTTGTGGCCATTTTCGCCCATTAACCTAAAACTCTGTGTCCGTTGTCTTCATTTGTTCCACCTGTGGGGGGGAGGGAATAGCCATGCAATGCCCCTTCCGATCGTCAGGAGGAGGGGGGTTGCGGGATCACGACCCGCCCACACCCGCTCCCGCGAGGCTGGCGCCAGCCTCGCGGGAGACAGGGATTCCCCCAATTAACATCCCCTGTGGCGCCAGCCAATCGGCTGGCGGCAGGGGCGGGCCTTAGTAAGGCCACTTAAGGTCGGGGCAGCCCTTGGCTCGCCCCCTTTTTACCCCTGGAGTCGACGCCGTTTCCCACCCACCCGCCCTTTAGGTTTTGCCACTGACTTTATGGCTCGTCTGGGCCCAGGGCTGGAGGATTTTCATTTGCTAATTGGCTGGTTTGGACAACTTGTTTTTCGCTACCTCGTGGTCACTCCCTCGGTGGCGGTAGGCATTGGCCGGGTATTGTCATGCAGATGAGGTTGGGGGGAGGAACGCCATCACCTCCCCCAATGCTTGAAGGGTAGTTTCGTTAAAGGACTCCGAGGGGCGACGCCTCGTCCGAACCTATGGAGGCTAGGGCCTAAAGCGCGCCCCCGAGCGGTAACCCCTCGGGGAGCACCTAGGGATATGCATCTCGGGTGGCTCCCCCTGTTGGTGTTTAACCCTTCCCGGTTAGACCGGATAGTCGGTTAGGGGCCAATGCCTAAAGCCAATACCCTTCTTTCCTGTAATCAATAAAGTTGTGGCCATTTTCGCCCATTAACCTAAACTCTGTGTCCGTTGTCTTCATTTGTTCCACCTGTGGGGGGGAGGGAATAGCCACGCAACTACCTTATACTGACTCAAAGTACTGATCTATCTAGCTCAGTATTGTCTACAATGACTGGCAACTGGTTACTAGGGTTTCAGACAGAGAGTTTTTCCCAGCTCTAGCTGGAGGTGCCATGGACCTTCTGTATGAAAAGCACATGCTCTACCAGAGAGCTGTGGCCCTTCCCCCAGAATATTTACCTATTTCTGTCTGGTTTTGAAATGGGACCTTCAGTGTATTAGGCAAATGTGACAACCTCTACACTACAGAAAGATGTAGCGCAGCCCTTAGAGCAACTATTTTTATGGTTTGTGAGAGTTCAGCTTGTGTGCTATCATTTGCTTGCAAAACAATGTCAACTCCCAAACTTCTTGCACTAATGTTAAAAAATGCATCTCACCCACTATCTTTTTAGAAGATTGCATCTTGACTGAATACAAGGAACAAAGGAAATTTAGCAAGACAGGCTCTTACTCTTGCCAAGCTGACTCCTGAAGGAACCTTGTAAGGAACATATTTTCTGTAGATATGACCAACACGGGAACAAGGAATATCTTCCATACGACCCCCACACATCCATACCTGTCAGATGCCAGAGAGAGTAAGCACAGATCAGAATTTTCTGAATATGATGGAAATCAAACCTTTTTCAAAGTCATATCAAGTAGTAAGTTTGTTACCTTAGTAAACTATTTTTAAAACATCATAAATGCATTCAGACCTCATGTTATTCAAGCTATTAAAGTTGTGCATCTTTGAAACTATGTCACCATTGTGACATAAAAATACCACCAGATCCAACACCAAGAAATGAACCTAGCATGAATCAAAAGCAGTATGTAGCTTAGGTAGTTCAAAGAATTCTGAAAGTTAATGCACATGTAAACACATGACTACTAAAGTTGAATACTTTTGTAGATTCTTATGTAGTGTTATTATGAAACAATCTCAGAGTTATCTGGAGAAAGTTAAAGATTTTAGGTCACACATCAACACCTTACTTGCTATTTTGTAACTCTACTACAGTGCCAACATGCCCTTCCACTGCTGCTTTTGCAGAAATACATATGCTGATGTATTCCTGAAATTAGCAAAAGTGCATAACTATTTTTTAAAAATGGAGCATAAATTAACTACCGTAAATGCTACTTGCAGAATTATGGCTCTATTTATGTCCAAGTAAGGTCACGAAGCGTCGGACACAACTAATCGACTAAACAACAACAACAAAGGTCAACAAAATTATTTTCTCTTCAAGAAGCATTGAATCTGTGCCAACATTCTCTAGGAACTTTCCTTGATACCTAGATTAAATATGGATATAAGTTTTGCCAGTCTAGGTAATTGAAACAGATGCAGTGTTGAGTGCATGCATTCCAGTAGGCTTAATGAATTTAAGTTCTTTGACTAATAATGTACATAATCTGTATTAAAGTACCATGCCCATTTATTAACAGACTGGCTCTGAAATGTCTTAAAAAGGATTGTCTGGTTAGGTTTGCTAAGGTAAACATTTTAATGATCCAACAAAGGTTTCATTAAAACATTTTCCAGCTTTTATTCTGTAGAGGAAACTAAATGTTAAGCAGTCTTTGACTTGCCTGTCAAATATGAATTCAACAGTGGTGAGAATGTAGAGCTCACCATTGGTTTTGATAAGTGACAACCCTGAATCAATTCTTGAATTCAAAAAAGAGCAGTTTCCAGATGGGCAGTTTCATTAATGGATACAAGGAATGGGGAAGAAATTGGTATTATTAGCATTGTAATGTGAACCTACCTCATTCACATTTACTGAGCAAATATGCAGATTGAAATGCAGCTATCCTTCAAAATTTTTGAATTTTAGGATGCAGTTCCCAAACTTAAATATATGTATAAAAATATGTGTATTAGGGGGAGGTGTACACATTAATGGAAATAAAGTTTAAAATGCATTATATTAGACAATTACTTATGTTAGACAAAATTGTATTAAAATGTTTATATTAGGAGAAATGCAAGTGAAAATTCTTGCCTATTTCCATGTAGGATTTTCCAAAATGTTTATGAAATAATGTGAAAATGGGACAAAAGAAGATTTAAGATAAGAAATATGAAGAACTGAGAGGAACTGAAACTGACAATTAGTCCATTCTTAATGGATACACTGGGTGGTAATCAATTAAATTTTACTCAGCATAAATCTACTGAAAATAATGAACATGGATAAGTTGTTCTAAATTGGTCTACTCAGAGTAAAAATTAGTTGAATATTATTATTTTAATTTATTACCACCCCTTCACCCTAAGGTTCCAGCGGGGATTGCAACAGTTACAACAATGTTTAGGGGCATGATTTTGGGTAGCTGAGGGCAATGTGAATATACTAGCTCCACCCAGGGTAGGAGTGTGTTTAGATATGTTAGCTGAGAACATAATCAGCCTGAGAGATTGATGCTTTTCATCTGGGCCTAAACCTCCTTCTTGCAAGAAATGCTTGGATGGCAAAGGATCTTCAAAAGAGACTGGGGGAAAGTATTTCCCCCATGAACTTCGCAGTGTGGCCATAATTGTCTCACAGCTACAAGAACACTTCCAAACAAAGAAATTAGATCAACAGCCGGCAGGCTAAAATTAAAATACAACAGGTGATATACATCTAAGTTATACTCAGAATAGGCACACTGAAATCAATAGACAGTAACTTTAAATGGGCCTATTCTGATCCTGACTAAAACTGGATAGCTCCCAATATGTAAAGGCCCAAAACGTCTAAGAAGATGGAACCAATGTTGTCTGACTTACATAGCATTTCAGAAAACTATCTTCATTATGAATTAACACATTCCATTATTAAAAATTACAACTTCTGATTACACAATCTACTTGTCCACTGGCTTATGAGTTCCTGTCAATGTGCTGCAGATATCCTTCTCTCACACTTACCCAGCTCAACTGCTTTTAAAAACACTCATGTTTTCAACTGATAATGTGCTACTCAAACACAAATCTAATTTCAAAAGCAGACATCCTATTCATTTTCATTGCTGCTTTGATTCATTTTATTAGCAATCCCTTTGTGTGATGACAGAATTCATTACAACCTGCATAAAGAAAACTATCATTCTCATCTGTAAAAAGAGAGATTGGTAGAAAGAGAGCCTTATACACTAGAAAGAAAAAGAAGGTAAGAATTAAAAAGGTAGCACTGAAATTAAAAATAGCAAGTGTCTATCAAGCAGCTGTTCTTGGTAGAAAACAGTAGCTACTAGCAGACAGATAAGATACTCCTGATTTTATGTATGTTAGGCAGCACAGCTCATTGTTGCCTCTTAAACAATGCCAATATTTGTCCATCTGCATTCAATAACAGGATTGCACTGTTTATGCCTTGCAATCACCCTGTTGCTTGTCTTATTTTACAAGAAAGGAGATCAGACTGGCCATACCAAGACTATCTGCTATTATGAGGAAAGTCAATGTTGTGTAGTGGTTAGGGTGTAGGGTATAATAAAAAATTATAAACCAAAGCATATATATTATTGTGCCATAGATTACATACTTCTTAAACTTCCACCCTCCCAAACTAGTTAAAAGCTACCTAAATTCCTATCTGTGTAGCTACTGATCCCAAGCAGAGGCCTATATAAACAAATAGTACAAAGCACAAAAAAGCTAGCTTTATATAAAAATCACAAGGAACAGCTCTGACAGGGGAGAAATAAAATATCATGAGAAGTAATAACTAGCATTAATCAGTGATATACAATAACTCTGTAGAAAACGCAGCACTAAAAATGTAATCCAGTGCAAACATATTATAAGCAGCAAGAGAGAAATCTGAAAAGCAAGGCTCTTCTGTTTCTAAGTCTTCCAGAGAGCATAAACATGTAAAGAAGTTACATGTATACATGCATTTTAATCAGCATCATCATAATTTTATTTGTATTCTTCCTTTCCATATTTTAAAACCATGTCATGTCTAGTTTGTCCCTTGAAGACAGCGAATAGCTAAGAAGGAAGCAGGACTGCTGTAGAATCCCCTAAGACTTCACATCCAAAGACAAAATAGGGAAACCATCAGAGAAGTTGGATAGAGATTCCATGCCATTATGTTACAACCAGCAATCTGATCAAGAATAAGCAGAGAATCAGAGATTCTGCATCAAATCTCAAAATATAGCTGTCATTCCAAGCTTGATGGGTATCCTCATTGAACTATGAGTCTGTCTATACTTAAATGCCTATTTTATTCAATGTAAACATTTGCTCTAGAGGACAGGCTATATTTACACTACCTACTAGTCCTTAAAAAATAATATTGCAAAGAGAAATTTCTTTGGGGTGAAAATTAAACACTTGGAAACATTTTTATAGTAATTCAACTAATTCCCATCAAAAGCAATACAAATTGTACATTTCTAAAATCTACCTGAAGAAAACTGGCCTCACTTGCAACCAGCACAAGGTAAAAGCTCCTTAACCGCTGACTGCATAGGACTACTTCATCCTCATCCAGAGCAGGCTATCAAAAAACTTTCAAGATACAGGAATCTTTTTGGAGAAGCAGGTCCTTCCTATAAGCTACATAAGACAAGAGACAATTAGGTTCCCTAATGTCACGCAAACAGGCTCCAGTGAGTATATAAAGGAATTTCCCTACATTAAAAGAAATGAAATGATAAGTGCAGTAATTAACACTATCCTTTGTTATCTCCTAGAATTGCTGGGAACTGATAATTTCCCTTTTCTTACACAGTTCCCCAAGTAATAATTCCCTAGCAATAATCTGGAATAGATTAATGAAGGGAGGGGGGAAAGTTGGTTAAAAATGGGTTGAAAATTTGGTCTTTGAAACATAACATTTCCCATTTATTTTACTTGGAAGAAGTGCTAGGTGGATTCTTTGTGCTCCTTCGGAGGCAGGATCTCAGCATCTTTTTATGTTTAAACAGATGCAGTTTTGAAATTGAATATGAAGTTTCATAGCTGTTAGGCCTCAAAAACCCTGTATTCTTGTTGCTAATGAACAAATCTTTTATTCTTATTACTTTATCAGAATTTCTATCAGCCACAGATGAAAGCATCAATCTATCATAACTCCTGAAAACACACCATTTCAGTGAAACATCTTTTTCTGTCGAACAATACAAAGAAAGGAGGACTTCTGCTGGGATTTAATTAGAGTGAATTTAACCCACCATAAATTATCATCCTTGGCCTGAAATAAAACTCTGCAATACAGTGTGGAAGTAGGCAGATGAATGAAGTATTCTTATTTCCTGCAGATCAAATAGTGTCTGCTCCAGCATTTCAAAGACAAAGAGCTTGCAGAGTCACTGTCATCACTCTTGGAAACTACTGTTTTTGAAAATGTCCAAATTGGAAGAGATGAATGCTGCTTTTACCATCTCCTGCAGAGAATTACATTATTACACTATTTCTTTACACACACTAGTAAAAGGGATAAATGGAACCAACTGTAAAGAAATCTCACAGAGGAAATAAGAAACCTTCACTATGTCTTTATCACATAGCTTTTTGTAGTTAAACAATGAGATGAAAATGTTGTTTGCTGCATGTTAATTGTCAAATTAATGTAGTTTGATGGCTTTTTGCATCACAGTTCAGATTTGAAAAACTACTTGGGGTGAGCAGAAAAAAGGAATAATTATAATAATCAGGGAAGGGCTGTTGGCAAGTCAAAATTATCCCCTGTGTTCTTTGCAAGTTGGTTGGATTCATGTTGAGGCAGTGCAGCTTATTTACTTGGATGCAGGACCTACTAGAATGGCTATGTATTAAAAAAAATTTCAGAAATAATTACAAACACAAGGCAAAACTAAAGCTAAAACACAAAAGCATTGGAGAATAAATACATTAAAAATATTTGCTATCTACAGTAGCCAAGTTGTTTATTAACCAAGTTGTTTGCCTTTTAATCACCAGAAGTACTGCTGAAGACCTCAATTGTATTTATTCTACTTAACAAATTCTAGTAAGTAAACTCATAGCTCACACAGGTCAATGAACAAGCTGATCCATGAGTAGCTAGCTTCTTAATTTGATGCGGTGGCCACATGAATTTATTCATTTGTTCCAGCTTATGACAATAGAGTGTTCTACATACAGAAGACTATAGTAGCAAGCCATTTTGTTTCATGACACTTACAAAAATAATATTCTATTCATTCATTATGCTCCTGCTTCCTTGGCTTACTATTGGCTACGTAACCAGCTTAGCAGAAACTGATTGCCCTTCAGTTTGTCTACGAAAAAAATCAATCACTCAAATATTCACTTCTCATATCAGGTATCATTTAGTAGTTAGCATGTAACCTCTCAGAGGCTTTCGATTCTTAGCCATATTTTTGGTTTATTACAGTAAAATGTTCTTTTCAAGAAATGTTGCAGAAATCCTTTCAACAGTTTTATTTTATAAACACACAGTAAAACAAAGACTGCAAACTGGTGCTTCATGTCTATAAACTACTTCATTATTCAGCATTTTTTTCAAATAAAAGTTTTCAGGGAACATAACTCACCTTAAATGATATTTCATACTGTTCTCCACCCCATATTTCCAGGCCTGCATCATATCCTCCCAGCTCCCAGAACCACTTTCTATCGACTGCAAACAGTCCTCCAGCCATTACAGGAGATCTTAAGGGAGAAAATATCCTTCACATTACAAAACCTATCATTATAGTTATGCCACCATTACATCCATATATCAATAAATTACATTCCTGAAATCACATTTCATACTTTAATATTTTTTCTACTGCTCCACCTTAATATTTTTAATCTATGTGATGTTGTTGCACAGTGTATCTTTAAACTATGAACCCAGGAGAACTTGGCAGTTTCCTTCAGAATAAATTAATGAGACCTCCAATAATGGAAGGTGTCTATCTGTGTGGGAATACAGCCCACATTATCTAACAAAGGCCCAATGTCGTACCTTTTAACATTCTTCCTCTCCTTAATTGGTGTAGGCGGCAAAACAACCTCGGTCCTGTATACCTGAAGGAGCGTCTCCACCCCCACTGAGATAGAGCACCGAGGGCCTTCTGGCAGTTCCCTCATTGCGAGAAGTGAAGTTACAGGGAACCAGACAGGCCTTCTCGGTAGTGGCACCCACCCTGTGGAACGCCCTCCCATCAGATGTCAAGGAAATAAGCAGCTATCCTATTTTTAAAAGACGCCTGAAGGCAGCCCTGTTTAGGGAAGTTTTTAATATTTAATGTTGTATTTTTTTAACACTAGATTGGGAGCCGCCCAGAGTGGCTGGGGAAACTCAGCCAGATGGGTGGGGTATTAATAATAATAATAATAATAATAATAATAATAATAATAATAATACTCTGAATCAAATCTTTAATTTAACAATGTTGCATTTTTACCCACACATAGCAACAAAGGTTAAGATAAAATAAAGTGTGTTGAGGTTACCAACCTGGTCAGGCTATTCTACCACTATATTAACTGAATTCATAATTATTAAGAAAATAAAGTTTACGTTTTGATTTAATTTGTACCAGCATGTGATATGTTCTATTAAATATCCACCATAATTATTTCAATTATGCAATTGAATTTATTTTTATACATCTGAAATGGACCTTATTATCTCTTTTCAAAAAGTTGTAGTAGACAGAGATAACACAAAAGAATTTTATCTTTTGAAATGAAACATTACTTGTGATGGCCAAGGATAGTTTCTATCTGTCTGAAAGCACCAGTGTCAAGAGCCTAGTTGGTTAAACACCTATTCACACTTTGTTTCATGAACTTACTCAAAAGGGTCACTCGGGTCAGGTTTCTGTAATTCAGGAGGAATGGGTATCCGCTTGTAATACATCTCCCAGTCAAATGCACCTCGCATTGCATCTCCAGCTTGTGTTTCATAGCCAAAGTGGTCATGGTCAATTACATCAATCATTGGACAAACAATAGTTTTGCGATTTCGAGCAATGCGGTCTGGGGCATAGATAGAAACATGTAACATTATTTTGCTACAGATGAAAGGAGTAGCAAACACAATTGTTTCTACAATACTCCATAAAGAATAAATTCAGAAGTACAGCTACATGACTTTTGATTTTTCTCCTCTTCCACGAAACACACATGGGTAATCTAATTCAAATGTGAACTATCTACCAATCAGAAAAAAATTATAGAGTTGTCTTGCTGAATACCGGAGTTTCACATTCATTGATGATTTTTCATGCTCTCCCAAAGACTACATAAAATAATAGTGTTGGGAAAGTAACATTTGGGAGCACATATACACTTGGAGTTGAATTTAGTCTACCTATTCAGATTTACACCTATTAACAAGTTGAGGTAGGGGAATGGCTGATAAGTCGGTTCAGTGCTATCTATACTGCACAATGCTTGTGAAGCTGAAGTCTCCAATGCCAGTTGGCAGAACTGGTGATGTTCATTGAGAACTGTAACTGCTTGAGGATCAGAGCTCTCAATGTCTGTGAGATCACCTTCCAAGAGGGAAGTCCATTAGTTTGGCACTATCCAGGTCCTAATGACAGCAGTATCTGTGTGGGACAGGCAGACTGCTGGGAAGAGGTGCCATGAAACCAGGAAACTATGGTGCAGAAGCAAGGTGACTGAAGGATAGGAACTGAGAGACAGACAAAGGACAGTGAACAGAGGCAATAGGCTAATCAAAGAGGAGTCTCTGAAGAAATTTCAGCGCTAAGGTTATGAAACACTATGGGTGAACGAAGAAAGTGCAACAGAAGCTTAGTAAAATGGGACAATGGGGGAAGTTGTCTAAAAATTGTGGAGCTGTGGAGACACTGAGGAAAGAAGGGAAAAAGAAGTTTAGAGCAAAACCTCATGCAGTCCTGGGAGTAGCATTGGCTGCACTTTATTGGCATAAGGGAAGTAACAACCAGGGAAGGCCCAAAAAGTTTGTGATGGTTCTTTAAAAAGATCTGAAGCACTGGCTGGGTAACTGCATTTTAACAGCTACATAGATAGGGAATGCACTTACTAGGGCTGCAGCACTGTGACTGTGCAGCCTTAAGAGGACAATTAGGGCCAAGCAGCAAGAGAAGGCCATTTTTCACATATTATATGTGAACTAAACAGGCCAGTTGCAGGCTTCTAATGTTGAATGTCTATACACACACATCTGAAAAGCCTGTTTACCTTGGTATTAGACAAAAATTAACAGATATCCAAATGCCTCACTATTTTGTCATCCAAATGTTATATTATTTTCTGTTTATCTGTCAACCAAAACAAAACAAAGCAAAAATAATAATTCAAAATGAGAGACTACTCTGCGTGGAGCAAGCAAACAATTACCAGCCAAGCCTTGTTTTAAACAATGGTCTGTTAATGGCCTATTTTTTCTATAAGTTCAAAACTATTTCCATAAGCCAATATGCCAGTCAGCCATAATGTGTTTAAGTTCTGTGTTAGATTCAGGCAGGAAATAATTCAGGCAAAACATCTTCACAAAACAAATAAAACTACTTTTTAACTTGAATTTACGAACACAGCTGGATTATATATTTCACTGGGCTTCAGTGGTTGCAGCCTGATCCATGGTGAGTCACAACAGACCATCATCCAAGTATATGGTAAAATGCATGTTTGCCTAGACTATTAGACATGAAACATAGCTAAATGTGAACCAACTGCAGCTATATAACTGAAATCAGAAAAACGTCTGAAATTAGAAACACTTTTTAAAGATCACTTTGCAAGCGTTGAAAGGAAGACATGATCAAGCAACACAGCCAGAACTATTAAAAAGACAATCCTATTTTGAACCTTCATTTTATCCAAGTACCTTCTCACCCTTTCTCAAAGAGAATCACACTGAGGCATTATCTGAGTAACTGATGTCAGCAGTCTTTATATAAGCCAGATACTGACTTTTTGTAGAACAAAGTTCTGAGAAGTCCCAGAACAATAAAATTAAATTATGGATGAAATTTTAGTTTTAAGTCAGATTGTAAGCCTCTGTATTTCATATAGCTAGAAAGTATAGCTAGAAATGCCATATCAGGACATGTGATCATCAGACTGAAATACATGTTGATATTGGGAATTTATTGCGAAATTGTAGTGTTACTTGTTATGCACTGGCTTGAGTGATGTAAATGCATTAGAAAGGTAGGATAAAAATCATATAAATAAACAATGAATGAGATAGTTTGCTTACCTAAAAGGGGTGGCAACCAGTTCACATTGGCCTCACAGTGAGAGTCCAAAAAAGTAATAACATCTCCTATAGCAACAGAAGCTCCCAGCATACGAGTTCTTATCAACCCTTCTCTCTTCTTAGTTCGGAGAATCCTCACTTTGGGAAACTGGGCCATATAGTCCTCCAAGCGCTTTTTTAAGTGTTCTGCATGGAAAATTAAATGATTTCTCATCCAGTCCTTTACTCTTTATTTCTCCCCAACTTTAAAACCCAATTTCCAGAATCTGGAACACCTTTAAGCTTTAATAGTTTTGTGTTTTTATAATTTTGCTATTTTATCATTTTTATATACTATCTTATATATATATACATCTTATATACATCTTATATCTAGACTATTAGACATGAAACATATCTAAATGTGAAACAGCTGTAAATGAAGCAGCTAGAAAACTGAAATAAGAAAAACACCAGAAATTAGAAGAAAAAACTTTTTTTAAAAAATCACTTTGCAAGCTTTGAAAGGAAGACATGATCAAACAGCACAGCTTGAACCATTAAAAATACAATCCCATTTTAGACCTTTCATGTTGGTCAGGTTAGGTACCTTGAGAAAAGCAAAGTTTCATAACAGATCACTGCCATTGCTTTATTCTAGCTACAAACTTTAAGATAATAAGGTATTGGTAGTTGCACAGAACCTTCACCAGGCAATTAAAGTATTACATATAATTCAATAACATACATCAGGCCAATAAAACACAAATACGTGGACAGTAATGGTTTAATTTTGATAGGCATACAACAGGCAAGTAGCTAATACATACGCATACTATAATAATACAAACAATTTTCTTAACTTAATCAAATAATTTGCTTGACACTAGTGTAAGAATGTATATTACCAACATGGGCAGATATAAATTTCAAGTATGGGATATCATGTAAAGGGGTTGGGGTTTTTTTTTGGGGGGGGGCGGTTTACATCGCTAACTACAGTGTGGCTTAAGTTTACAGTTTTAGGAGCCCATACCACTTTGCCAAATCCAGATAACCACCCTGGGATCTTTGGAAGAAGGGAAGTATGCAAATGGAATAGAAGATACAAGCTCTCTCTCTCTCAAAACCAAAACTCTATTAAAAATTGCAATATGTGTGAGCTATATGATGTGAGAATATATTTGCAAGCTACTTCAAAACTGAATAAATGTTCATTTAACTGTCACATAGCTCTTTTTTTAACTGGCGAAAATAGCTATCAGGAGTAGTAATGAACCACTGTGGGACAGCTTTGCATAATATCACATCATTAGAAATGCATTATCTTAGCCAAAAGCCAAGAATAGGACCTGAAAAACTCACTCACTATTTAATATAAAAACTCACTCTCTATTAAATATTTCTAAAAATCTAATGATAATACAAACACATGTTCTCCATTTCAACAACTATAAATGATTTCCATGCTTGATAAAGCATTAGCTATTTGAGCCACTCTGAACACAAGAATGTAATTAGCATTCTGAAAGTCAGTATATGAAATAATTTAATTTAAATAAGATAAAGGAATAGTGGTTGAAATTAAAACACAAATCCACAAATCCACAAAAAGCTCCTATGACTTAACGTAAGAGATTCTGGAGTCAGTTTGCAATAAAGGAATTTTGATGGCAGTTCCTGTTCTGACAACCTTTGTGCATGTTTTAGTTAGCTATGGATATTTCCAGAATGGCAGTTCTTTGTGTACCCAAACATTGGTTATCCACTGTAAGCTGAATACAGAATTGCAAACAATCTTCCACACCTTGGAGAGGAGCATTTTGTGTATGAATATATCCCATTATATGCAACAACATTTGGAATACTGGGCAGGGTTCACTTAATGAATTTTGTCAGCAGAATATCTGCACAAGTAATCTGCTATATACCTTCTTTTTTTGTTCAGCCATATGTCTGTATAAATAAATATTATAATGAAAGTACCTCTGTCACTGAAATCATCCACCAGTACAATTTCAGCTATGAGTTCAGGAGGAGAGCGATTGAGAACACTGTGCACTGTTCTGAGAAGTGATGACCACCCTTCGTTGTGGAATGGGATTATTACACTGGTGTTGGGGAGGTTTTCCAGGTATAGCTTGCTATTGCAGCTACAAGACAGATGAACACAGTAACTAGCTTGACCAGCATACAAAGAATGGTTACTACTATTATTTGAGTTTTTTCACTTATTGTAGCTAAATATTAAACATACAGTTGAATAATAGCCTGTATTATGACAGATTCAGGAAGAACAAGATTCTAACTGGGTCCATAGGCCAGAGGTTCCCCATTGGTGCTATAGAAGATTGAAGACTTAAACAATGATACCTCTTAGTGGGATGGAGGAATGGAGGAGATATTCTAAAAACTTTTTGGATGGAATGTCAAAGAGATGAGAGATCATATCAAACACCAAAAGAAGGATGACTGTCACGCAGCACTTTCTGAATGTAATTTGCTTACAAAATACGTATCATACAAGCTGTGAGTGATTGCTGAAGAGAATTTTAAGGGCATTTCATAGCCCTGGGTACATCCAAATCTCAAAGTGAGGATACATCCAAAGTAAACAGATGTTCCGTGACCCACAGGGTTCTTTTCTATTCCTCATTTATTCAGATACAGTGGTACCCCGCAAGACGAACGCCTCACAAGACGGAAAACCCGCTAGACGAAAGGGTTTTCTGTTTTGGAGGCGCTTCGCAAAACGAATTTCCCTATGGGCTTGCTTCGCAAGACGACAGCCCATAGGGAAATCTCCGGGACAGCGGGGAAGCGCAGCGCGTCTTCCCCACTGTCCTCGGACCTCCTCCCGCCGCCGGACATCGGAACGAAGCTCCATGTCCGGCGGGGGGGGGGGGAACGTCTCCTCCCTCCAACGGACATCGGAACGAAGCTCCGATGTCCGGCGGGGGGGGGGGAACGTCTCCTCCCTCCAACAGACATCGGAACGAAGCTCCGATGTCCGGCGGGGGGGGACGTCTCCTCCCTCCAACGGACATCGGAACGAAGCTCCGATGTCCGGCGGGGGGGGAACGTCTCCTCCCTCCAACGGACATCGGAACGAAGCTCCGATGTCCGGCGGGTGGGGGGAACGTCTCCTCCCTCCAACGGACATCGGAACGAAGCTCCAATGCCGGGCGGGGGGGGGGGAACGCCTCCTCCCGCAGCCCGGCATCGGATGGCTGTCCTGAAGACTTGGGGTGGGAGGAGGGTTTTCCTTCCCACCGCCAACATTCAGAATGCTGTTCTGAATGTTGGCGGTGGGGAGGAAAAACCCTCCTCCCACGCAAGCCCCGGGAACAGAGAAGCGCTGCGCGCCTTCCCCTCTGTTCCCGTACCTGTCCTGAAGGCTTGCGGTGCGGAGAAAAGCCCTTCTCCGCACCGCCAGCCTGGCAAGCGGTTTCCCTAGGAACGCATTAATTGATTTTCAATGCATTCCTATGGGAAACCGTGCTTCGCAAGACGAAAAACTCGCAAGAAGAAAGAACTTGCGGAACGAATTAATTTCGTCTTGCGAGGCACCACTGTAGTTTCAATGTTTTAATTGTGTGTTTATATGGTGTAACCTGCCATGGGATCTTCTGGTGAAGGATGGGCAAGAAAATAACAACAGCAACAACACTGACAATAAAACATATCCACTCTATAGCAAACCTATTAAAATAGATCACCAATAAGATAAAATACAGAGGAGAGTTTATTTGCAACTGTTGGAATCTCTGTACATAAATATTTATGCTTTATTTCTTGGCTCTGATGACAGAGTTAAGAGTTGCTGAACTATCAGGTTTCTTGTTTAATACATTAGATAATTCAACCTATCAAGATACTGCAGACGCATGTTACAAGCAAGGGCAATACAAATTGGAATGACACTCAAGTTAGGATACAGAAAAGCCAATTTTAGAAATAGAAACCTTCATACTTTCAGTAACAAGAAAAGTTTGTACTTACTTTGGGTGTCGTATATCTGGTAGGGATCGATTGAGAGAAACTTTGTCACTCACAAAAATATTAAAGCCATTTTCTCTGTATGCCTGGTCCACTTGCTCGGCATCTGTCATAGGATACGGTTTTCCCTGTTCTCCATTTCCTACAGCAAAAGAAGTGGAGCCATTAATACTTCAATCTGGTCCCTCTAGATGTTATGGACTACAACTCCCACTAGTCTCAGCTAGCACGGCTGGCTAGGCAATACTCATTATGCCACATTCTATCAAGGACACAGTATGATGTCCAAACACCACACTTTACATCTGTTAAAACTATCGAGCAGTTGAGAAGCGGATGATAAAACTGAAAGAAATATAGGAACACTTAACGGTGTTTATAACAGATACCTTGTTAACTGTCATTTTGAAAAAAAGGTCAGATTTAGGACTAATTAGATTTATCTCAATTTATAGGTTGCAAAATATACACAACCTAGGAAGGCCAATCGGTTTCTTTAAAATATGTGGGGAACTTTCCTGCCCTTGTTCTCTGTTGGCCTCACTATTTGGTTTGGAGGACACAAACCAAGTCTGGCAAACACTCAATTTCTATCTAGATCAATCTGATTAACTCTTATTACTCCCTCCTATTGCATAAAGTCTAGCAGGATGCTGCTGTCAGCACAACCTTCCCTCTCTCCACCAACTGGTACTACTGTACCACACAGAAGGCTGCCAAAATCAGGGATGAAAGCCCAAACAACTCCCAACTCCGTTCTAGGGCTGGTATGACAAATCTTCACCAGTTTCAGGCTTACATTTTTTGCCACTTCAACTGGAAAAGGGAGATTTTGCATGGCCTCCACACTCACATACCAATTTACATCATTCTGCTTCAAAATAGCAAGTTACGGCAGTCTCTGGTTTGCTTAACATCAGTCATCATTTTTCTCCCTTCCATTTATGTCCCACTGATGCTTTTAAGGCCTTTGCAATGGAAACTTGGGCATTTAAGCCTTCCAGTGAATATTTAAATGGGGTGGTGTAGCACATGCAGTTCTTCCTTCTTTCCTTCTTGTCCTGCCCTTTGTGATACATCAAATTGCACTCTCAAGTGGCTAGCTTGAAAGACCTTGAAAGACATCATGCTTGTAGAATGGTTGGGAGCAAGCAGCATACAAACATAGCTGCTGTTCCTTTCTAGTTTGAAGTCTGAGGTCCTGTTGCATTTTTCAGTTTCTTCCCCTGGAACAAACGAACACCCATATGACAATATAGCAAATTATCAGAACTGAAAAGAAAAACAGAAGTAGTAGACTTCTTTGCTCAACCACTGCCCGAAGCACGTTCCAGACACTTGCTAGCAAAGGCCTGCTGACTTTCTTGTAAACTCTGTTAACAGTAATCAATACTGCGTTACATATACCCCCCCCCCAGTACTTTGTGCTCAGTTCCATTTTACTTATAGGTTACTGAATATGTAATTCAATATTACATGCCTTAAGGCTGAATGAGTTATCATACACACCTGTACGTTGCAAGTCTTTCTTTATAGCATCCCTGTCATGCCAGTCCTTTTTCCTTTGTCTGTTTTCAAGATAAGCTTCTTTCTTCTGCCTTGTATGGAAACCCTTTTAAATAAACATTATCTATAAGTTTGGGAAAGCATTCAAGGCTAAACTGAATTACTGACAAGCCATATTTTCAAAACATAGACTCACAGAACTGTAGAGCTGGATGGGACCCCAACCGTCATCTATCCAACCCCCTTCAATGCACGACTCACAACTAGATCATACATGACAGATGGCCATCCAACCTCTGCTTAAAAACCTCCAGGGAAGAGGAGTCCACCAGAATGGTGAATGCTGACCTACAGGATGACCCTGACCTGGTGCGTCATCAAAGAACATTTCAAAACTGTGGGGTTTAACTTATGTGGCATTTTAAGAAAGGTCAAAGGAGTAGTGCATCAATACCTTTGACAGTGATATTTGGTTTGTCATGTTTTGGATTTGCTTTCTGCTTAACAATCCATTGCATAGGGCTTTACTTAGCTGTTTTCTGTACCAAGTCAATGCATCTGAGTGAGGTACATTTCCCTCTAAAATGAAGAATTACAGACTTGAAGCTAATCTTTCCTTCATTGTTTTCATCCCTTGCTTTAATGAAAGTGAGGTCAGAGTAGAAAGAAATATTAAATAATACTCTAAAAATGGATTTAGATTAATAGTTGTAAACAGCCCTTTATGTTGCCTACCAAGCTTAAAAATCACCAAAGAAATCTAGTAACGTTCAATAGCTAAACATACAAAAAAATGTAATTTTAATCTTTTGTTTAGTTGCTATTTGGTGTGCCTGGTTCCAGCTATAAATGGTTATTTGAGCCATGTAAATGCTATATAAAAATATAATAAAATCACCAATTAAGTGGCAGCATTATATAATGTTAGACAGAAATAGTAAAAAGCACTATTTTATTTCTAGTCAGATCAAATAACAAAACTTTTTTTATAATATATAAAGTGGTGAACAAAACAACAGATTCAGGTTTAGACCTTTTGTTAAAAAATTCTCATTAGTTAAAAGAAATCCAACTCACTCTTAAATTACAGTATAAGCTTTTTTGCAAAGTGCACCAATGTGATGGAACAAATGACATACATAAAAATACAGAAATATAATAAAACTTTAAAATAAAAAAAATATATAGAATGATTCTTAGCATATTTTCTTATACATTTTGTGGCATATCTCATATAATTGGATTGCTAGAAGTATGCCCAATACAGTACAAGATGAAATGCCTTTGTGTCAAGGTGTTGTTTGTTTGATATTTTGGGTGGGGGTGGTAATCTGGAACTTCTCAAGATTACAACTTTACACCTTGCACAAAAATCAAGATAATAAACTTAAACAGAGCCTAGCATGCAGCCTTAAGAAAAATCCTTGTTTAAGATGGGCCTGCATTTGTGGGTACAGTTCCTCCTGCGTCAGAGATTGCACAAAAAAAGCAATAAACATGGTGCTCTTGTGCTAGGTAATAGGAGGATGTTCCAAAGGTTAGTGCTGCAACACTAAATGCCAAATGGTAATACAGTACCTCCAGGAACAGAGGCAGTATGCCTCTGAATACAAGTTGATAGGGAACCAAAGTAGGAGAAGGATATTGCCATTGTGACTTGCTTTTGGTTGCGACGGTGGGAAACACAATGCTGGGCTAGATAGATCACTGATCTGATCCAATGGGACTCTTATGTTTTTATGGAGCAATATACTTCAACTATTGCAATAGCAGACCATTTTTTGTGTTCTTTTGGAACAATATATTTTCACCATGGCAATACAGGCACCATTACCTTGAAGTAAGGTTACCAGATTTTTTTCAATGAATCCGGGGACACTTTCCAACTTCAGTGGGAATGATAGGATTTTGTCAGGGGACTGATTTGTAAATCCGGGGACTGTCCCTGGGAAACGGGGACATCTGGTAACCTTACCTTAAAGTAGGTGTCAATCTCCTTTTGACAATTAAAACACACACACACATTTTATTTCTTTAAAAAAAAATACAAAACACCACACAGACACCCTTCAAAAACCATATCCTTTGGCTGGACTGACATTTGCAAGGGGCTACAAGTTTAATCCAAAATCTGATCCATCATGGGTATGGAATGAAAATTCATTTTCCTTTTAAGAACAAACATTTGTCTGTGGCAAGACCATCCTGAGAGATTGCTCCATTCTATTTCCTACTGGTAAAACGATTTGCTCTGATGCTATTTCCTCCTTGGAATACTGTTGCATTCTGAATTAGAAATTATGTATTAAAAACAGCATAATACAAATGCGCAAAATAGAGGTATGCAGCAGCCAGAAGGTAAATTAGCAACCCAAATGTTAAGGCTGAAGAGCATGCATGTATTTGTGGGAGAGAACCAGTTATGGTGCCAAGCTTCTTTTTAGACAAAGCAGTAGCTGGCCTCTAACTGCCATAACAAGGACAAAAAAGCAAAGCTGTGGCTGCTGGCACTGTTTTTACTCACATGTGCGTAAACTTTCTTTTAATTCTAACACAACCCCCCTTTTTTCAAATGGAGAAAGAGGAATTCAGAAGGCTGATTATTAGTAAGATTATTATTATGAATCCATCAGCACACTGAACTAGTCTAGCACAGTGGATAAGTTGTGAACCTAGAAATTTCTACTTCAAAGCTAACTACAGCTATTATCTTGTTAGACGGCTTTAGGCAAACTCTATCAGTCTCAGTTGCCTCATCGGCAATAAAGGGAAAGCAATGCTGACCTACTTTAATGGGTGGTTGTGGCAATTGCAATAAAATCATGTATGTGAAGTTCTTAGAATGTTCTAAATGTGCTATATAAACTCCAAATATTATTACTTCAAGGAAAAATGCAGTCCTTTTTGGAGATATTGTTTGAAACAGCCATCTTTAATGAAGTAAAAATATCATGATATAAAGCTCCTTTATATCAACATTTTGGAGATAATGATTAAACTTATTGGTGATAGATCATAACAAAGCACTCTTTGGTACATCATGTGTCTCAGCGCTGTTGACTCTGATCCAGAGGGACAAACATGTCCCTTCAAAGTGCTCTGCAAGCTCCAAATTTACAAAAAGAGAGAGCACAATTTAGCAGAAAGAATTTTTAATGGGGAAAAATGAGGAAAGGTGTCTAGGCATGCACAGTATAATTTTCTCTTTTAGATCATTCTTGTGCAATGTTTGCCCAACCCACTTTTTTAACTCAAAGGTTTAAAGGTCTGCAAATTCTAAAATTTGAATTTATTTAAAGATAACTATGAAAAATGTTGGTCAGAAATTAAAAAGGATTTAGAAATTTGGACGAGATTGAAACTTTCCTTGTTGGGCCGAATAGCCGCTATAAAGATGAATGTGTTGCCAAAAATGTTGTTTTTGTTCCAGGCCCTACAGATTGTGGACAGAGTGGAATGCTTTGGAAAGTGGCAGAAAGATATTTCTAAGTTTGTCTGGCAGGGCAAAAAGCCCAAAATAAAATTTAAAATATTAACTGATGCAAAGGAAAGAGGGGGTTTGCCCTGCCGGACTTAAGGTTATATTATGAAGCTGCAGCTTTCTGCTGGATGAAGGATTGGTTACTTCTTGAGAACACTGATGTCCTGGATCTGGAAGGGTTTAACAATGCTTTTGGTTGGCATGCTTATTTGTGGTACGACAAGGTAAAGGTTCATAAAACTTTCAAGAACCACATTGTCAGGAAAGCAATATTTAATGTCTGGTCAAAATACAAGGACTTACTAGAAAACAAGACCCCAAGGTGGCTGTCACCTATGGAGGCCAAGGCTCGGAAAAGACTCGATATGGAGGCCGGATGGCCGAAATATTGGGAAATAATTGAAAAAGTTGGAGAAACTTGGAGATTGCAGAGTTTGGAGAAACTAAAGGATAAAGTGCGAGACTGGTTACACTATGCTCAGATTAAGGAGGTTTTCAATATGGATAAAAAGATAGGATTCCAGGTGGAAAAATCGAAACTAGAAACAGAACTGTTAGAACCTAAGACTAAGGTGCTTTCAAGAATGTATAACTTGCTGTTGAAATGGAACACACAAGATGAAACAGTCAAATCAGCTATGATAAAATGGGCACAGGACATTGGATATAATATCATGTTTGCTGACTGGGAAAGGTTATGGACCACCGGTGTGAAGTTTACGGCATGTAATGCTTTGAAAGAAAATATTATGAAAATGATATACAGGTGGTACATGACCCCAGTCAAGCTTGCAAAAATATATCATTTGCATGATAATAAATGTTGGAAGTGTAAGGAGACTGAAGGAACATTCTTTCACCTATGGTGGACCTGCCCGAGAGTGAAGGCCTTCTGGGAAATGATCTATAATGAGCTAAAAAAGGTATTTAAGTATACCTTTCCTAAGAAACCAGAGGCCTTTCTTCTGGGTATTGTCGACCAGAAGGTGTTAAAGAAGGATAGAACCTTTTTTATGTATGCAACAACAGCAGCAAGAATACTTATCGCAAAGTACTGGAAGACACAAGATCTGCCCACACTGGAAGAATGGCAAACGCAACTGATAGACTACATGGAGCTGGCCGAGATGACTGGCAGAATTCGAGACCTGGGAAAAGAGGAGGTGGAAGAGGATTGGAAGAAGTTTAAAGATTACTTACAAAGACTTTATAAATTGTTTGAATGTTAAGAAAGTGCATGAAAGGAAGGAATTTGGCATCAGTAGCCTAGATGAGAAATGTATGAGAATAAGTTGAACTATAAAGATGAGATTCGAAGTAATGTTATGCCTAAACTAAGTAGTTTAATATTTGATGGAAACATTTAAAACTAGAGGCATAACACATTAGAATTAGAACATAAGATCTGAAATAAGGTAATAAATTGCGGAACATAACTTTTGTCCGGAGAACGCAGGAAAGGGAGACGTGAGGAAGTCCAGAGGGTTATGAAAAAATGTATGAAAGGCTGTGATTTTTTATTTTTTCTTCTTTATATTTTCTTTGTCTGTTATATGTTTGGTGACTTTCTTTTCTTAAAAAATGCAATAAAAATATTTTTTTTAAAAAAAATAAAGGTCTGCAAA